AGCCTTTCTCCCTGCTAAACAAGACCAGCTTTTATTTTCTACACAAACACACACACACACACACACACACACACACACACACACACTGACAGACAGAGACCCCCCCTGATACTTGGCCAAACACATTGAGGCTAAAACTGTTTCCAATGGCATTCATCCGCAAACCGTAGCCGTGGATATTCTCGGCCATCGCTGTCGGATCATGTGCATCTGTGTTTTATTTATTTGTCTAAGTCCTTTTAACAGGCTGTCAATTGCAGCTCAGATTTTCTCGTAAAACCAAAAGAAGACGTCAAGGGCTGCACAGAAAAGGACCGGTTACAGTGAGCACGTCTGCAGAGATGAAGCGAAGATGAGTCACCTCTTAAGATTTCTATTTATTTCCGGGAGTTTAGCATGTGTGTGTGTGTGTGTGTGTGTGTGTGTGTGTGTGTGTGTGTGTGTGTGTGTGTGTGTGTGTGTGTGTGTGTGTGTGTGTGTGTGTGTGTGTGTGTGTGTGTGTGTGTGAGGGATGCTACAGGCTTGAAACGTTCAATCAAACAGCCACGTTCAATTAAATGTATTTTTAGCGCCGTTGCATGTGTGTCACCTAAATCTCCAACTATTAAAGTTGCTTTGACAGATTTTACTCAAACCTATACATTGGAATTAAATGTTTATTGCACAATCAATGGCTGCAGAATAAAGACACCATGAGGGCTTAGCTTTGTTACCGATAATCCTTGCTCTCACTTTGCAATTCTGCTTGTCACTGGGTACGATCTCCCAGAGAGATAAAGTTTACGGCACAAAGAAGGGAAACATCTAAATGCAGTTTGTGTCGTGCAGTTAAGCCAATGCTTTTTCCATTGAAGGAAGCTAGCACTAGCTCCAAACAATGCTAAGAGTTGCAAGATGACGACATGTGTTCATTTGAATAAACCTAAATGGATGTGTTGTTGGACAAGGAAGAGAGTGCCAACAGGAGAGGGAGAGATAAAGTTAATATTCTAATATTTTGGAATATATGTCTTGCTTTTTCCCTCGCTGCTTTGAATGAGTTGCCTCATTTTTTTTGCCAGTATCGAGCCTAAAGAAAAATGTGTTTCTAGGAAAAGTAACATGGTCTCTTGCCATCTAGATGAATCAAGATGAAGTGCATTTAATAATCTGAGTAACGGAGGTCAAACTCCAGGTTTAAGTTCAGGATGTGTTCAGCCACATTTCTAACTGAGGTCGAGAGTACACGCTGTGTCTCAGGTGGGCTGCAGCCTGATAAGAGCTGCTGGCCTTGAGGCAATAAAGGGATTACCTGCAGCCGTGTGTTTATGAGGAGAAGGAGAACACACACACACACACACACACACACACACACACACACACACACACACACACACACACACACACACACACACACACACACACACACACACACACACACAGCAGCGAGATGTCAAACAGATGGGGATCTCCCACCCTTCCTCAGTGTGTTGCTGAAGCCTCGTTGCTCTGTGTCGCTCTGTTGTTACCGTTTAATATCGATGTGAGGCAACTTCCCCAGATGGCATTTTCTGCATACTTGAGAAAAGACAGCAGTAAACGACAGTGTCCTTCTGCAGATCACTTCCATGTGTGTGACAATAAATTACAGAGATGTTCTTTTCCTCTGCTTCATAAACATTCTCACACATACTACACACACACACATAATGTATTTGTGTCTTGCGGGGACATTCCTGACCGGCTCTTTGTTGTGTCTTTAATGACTTCTGCAGGCTCTGTCTGTGTCTCAGTTGTGTTTTGGAAGCATGCTGTAAATAGACGACCTCACATCCAGTATTCTCCTCAGCCGATGATTAGAGGCTCCGGGATCATTCTCGCCCTGACCCCCGAGCTGCACGGTATTTAATTCTGAGTCAGGAGCGCTAGAGTTTACACAGCGAGAGACACTGAGGTTGGAAAATAAGGACTATTAATAATAGCCTTGATGAAATCCTTCTCGAGCTAACAAAAGGAGGCAGCTTGACCTCAGATATTTAACCGTTTCAAACTGGGCACGCCAAAACAGTTTAGTTTGTTATCTTTGCCATTTCTACTACTATTACTTCTGCAGCTAAAGTCTTTGTTTCTCACCGATTGCTTCACCCCCGAGCTGAGATCCACCAGACGAAGCCTTCAATTAGATTTTACGAGCTGGTTTCATGCTAAATGTCACAGTGTTGTAACCATGACAAAGCTAATGAGTGAGCACTAAAACACATGTAAAGGTCAAACGTTTTGTTAGAGGTCAATATCGGTTTCTGGTGTAGCAGGCTCCTACTGACCCACGTCTATGAGGCTGATAACCAAACGCACATTTAATCGTTAAGATTAAGACCCTCAAAAGTATTGTGTTAGTTTAATTTACTTGTATGCAGCACATTCATCCCTCTAGTCTTGGCTTGGGAACCAGAGGGTCCTGGATCAAAAGGACCAAGTATGGAGAGTAGACTTGTTCTTAGAGAGATGCTGGTTTCTTTTGTGCCATGCTGAGGTAGGTGTGTGTGTGTGTGTGTGTGTGTGTGTGTGTGTGTGTGTGTGTGTGTATATATATTTTAGTGTGTGTGTGTGTCATCATGGTTCTGCTAAGACGGACGGCGAGGCCTCGTCACCTTCTGCTGGCGGCCATGTTGGCTCTGCTCCTCTTCTACAGCTCCTTCTGGCTCCGTGAGTGCCTCCATGGCGGCCATTTTGGCTCCACCTCTGTCAGTTTCTACTTTACAGTGGGGAGGGGGAGTCACTAAAAAACTCCTTTTACTTGAGAATTTACAATAAATGTTTTTATATAATAACAAATTAATTCAACTTTAAATTCAGTAAAATAACCATGTTTTTGACTCTTTTTTTTTTATTGTCTTTTGATATTATAATGTCAAGTAATAAATATAATGAAATAAAACAATGCATTTTTGGCACAATAAGTATAATTTAGCATTTTTTCCCGATACATTTTACTGTTTTTATTTTATTTTCTATTGTATTTACTTTTTAAAAATAATTTGTACTTGTTAACAATTTTATTTTATGATGCATAGTGGGTTTCTTTTAAATAATAACTGTTTTTATTTTATAATTCTGACTTCAGCTCAGGGTGAAGGCAGAGACTGTGGCAGCGCTGGGCAGCCATGTTTGAAGTCTGTACGGCAAAAGGTAGACACACACCCACAAATGTTGTTTGATATAAGCATAAAATAAAAAATACAAATATATATACCTAAATTAAAGAAAACATATTTTTTGAACTCTTTTTAACTTTTCAAAAATACCATTTCATTCAGAAATAAAGAAGAACATGTGTAAATGCAGTATAAACCTGGTTTTCTTTCAGGCTGCGCACCCATTGGTCGCTGCCGAAGCCCTGTCCCTCATTAAGGAGTGTCCCGGCCAATCGTTTCAGGCCAAGCTTCTGCTGCGGTATTTAAAGCTCAGCCTGAGCGACGCTGACGACGTCCTGCTGGAGCCATACCTGCAGAGCTGGGATCAGCTGCTCAAGTACACTCAATATATATTAATTTATAAAGGAATTGTACAACATTTAATGAGTGAAATGCTCTCACAGCACCTGTTTAGCTTAGCTTAGTATAAAGAGTAAAAACAGGGGGAAACAGCTAGCCTGGATAGGTCCATAAAAAAAGTAAATTCAATTAAAAACTCCAATAAAAGTACTTCATTTATATCTAATTCAAAAGTGGCTCCTTAAATAATCAAAAAGGAGGATGAAAGGAATATTTCAACATTTCTGTTCGGTGCAAATCTTATGTCTGTACGGCACCTGTTTAGCTTAGCTTAGCATAGGGTGAAGAAACAGTAACTCATCAAAAAGTCAACAACTTATTAATGTAGTAATAAAAATCATACATTCGGATTGTGTTGATCTTGATGGAACTAATTCAGTTTAAATATTTGTCATTAAATGTTTCTTATTTTCTGTGATAATAAAAAGTCATGAAAAGCAACATTTGCACTCGATTGCTGCTAGGTAGTAAGGCGTAAGCAAATTAGCTAGACATGCTAACATTAGCAATACAAATACTCTCAATAGAGGCTTCTCAATTCTTAAATTTGCCAGAGAGAACAGCTGTGAGGTCCGTGCAGAAAGCAGAGCAGTGTGTAAAATATATATCACTCAGTATAACAGGCCTACTCTCTGTATTTGCTTTAGTTTAGTAAATATCTACAAACAAAGAGTCGATATTTTTCTAAAACCATTTAGTGCTTCACATAATAAAATACACAACGGCTGTAGCCTGATTGTGTATTTTGTATGATTTAGGAGCTGTAGGTGTGTGTGGTACAGTGTGTAGGTGTGTGTGGTACAGTGTGTAGGTGTGTGTGGTACAGTGTGTAGGTGTGTGTGGTACAGTGTGTAGGTGTGTGTGGTACAGTGTGTAGGTGTGTGTGGTACAGTGTGTAGGTGTGTGTGGTACAGTGTGTAGGTGTGTGTGGTACAGTGTGTAGGTGTGTGTGTGGTACAGTGCGTAGATGCGGCGGACAAACGGGTCTCAGTTGGTTTGGTGTCCTCTGCTTACTTGTAATACTTGTAAATACAACTTTTGGCCCGTAATTTCAATTCCCCATTTCAGCGACCAGAGAGGGGGGGGGGGGGAATATCCAGTCTCTTATTGTGTTAT